CTTTCTCCGCAGAGCTGCTCTCCAGAAGGTCGGTCCCCAGCCTGTACCGGTGTCTGGGGTTATTCCTCCCCAGGTGCAGGACCTTGCACTTGGCCTTGTTGAATTGCATGAGGTTTTTCACCGCCCAGTTGTCCAGTCTGTCCAGGTCCCTCTGGATGGCAGCACAGCCCTCTGTGGGGTGGTCTATATTACACATTTTCCATATTACACATTTTTACATTTAAGATGGATGTTCAAATGCTGCACCAGAGTGCTTTTGACCTCTCAGAGGGTAAACTGCTCCTCTTCTGTGCCTCAGTAGTGAAATGCGCATTGATAGCTAGGTTGTAAAACACATCATAAAATTTCCCTGCATTAAAAGAGTGTTTATATTTTTACAGAGAGTTAATATTAGAATAGCACTGTGAGCATCACTAGTAATAGATGCTTCTCTGAGAAAAAGTAATAGACTCTACATGGAAGTTGACTAAAAAAGGTTTGAATGTGACACGTCATGTATGCGCGTTAGGGCAGCCTGTCAGCATCTGCGTCCTATTTAATCAAGAAGCCTGTATCCCTAACTCCAGAACAAAAGATTGCCACAGAAAACTAATGGAAAACACATTACACTTATTGACTATGAAGCCTCACCTCCACCCTGCAGCTAATTCCAAGGTTAGAAACAGTAGTAAAACTATTCATATTTAGCAAACAATTTTGTGAAAAAAAAGCAATATTCCATTACCATCCCTTAACATGCTTTTATATGCTTCATCTTTTCTATGTAGACTTGTTATGACAATCTTGTCTAATTTTAATTTTCCTGATGTTATCTCCATAAAACTAAAGAGAGATATGATCGTTGTTTTAATAAAAGGGCTTTATTCCTTTTAAAAAAATGCTAGTGAAGCATCTGCTGCTACTGAAGTTTCCTATCTGTGAAAGAAGATCAGCAAGGCTTCCTCAGATCTGCTTTCCCTGTGTGATCTTTACTCCAATTTTGAGACATGGTCTAGAAAAGCAGGTGAGTGCTTATTTATTTTCAGCATACAAATAATCAAATAACTTAACTGAAATTGGCTGAGAGATCTCCTATGAGATGGACTTAAAACAAAATATTCTGATACCAAACTGGGTGGAGTGGCCAACGCTCCAGAGGGCTGTGCTGTCATCCAGAGGGACCTGGACAGGTTTCAGTTGGACGGAGAGGAACCTCATGAGGTTCAACAAGGACAAGCTCAGGGTCCTGCACCTCAGGAGGAGTAACCCCAGGCTCCAGTACAGATTAGGGGTTGACCTGCTGGAAAGCACCTCCGCAGAGAGAGATTTGGGAGTCCTGGTTGACGACAAGTTAACCATGAGTCAGCAATGTGCCCTCGTGGCCAAGAAGGTCAATAGGATCCTGGCCTGCATGAGAAAAAGCGTTGCCAGCAGGTCGAGGGAGGGGATCCTGCCCCTCTGCTCAGCTCTGGTGAGGCTGCACCTGGAGTATTGGGTGCAGTTCTGGGCTCCCTAGTAGAAGAGGGATGTGGAGCTTCTGGAGAGGGTCCAGGGTAAGGCCACAAAGATCATTAAGGGACTGGAGCATCTATCATATGAGAAAGGACTAAGCGAGCTGGAGCTGTTTAGTCTGGACAAGACTGAGAGGGGATTTTATCAATATGTACAAAGGTCTGAAGAGAAGATGGGACCAAACTCTTCTTGGTGGTGGCTAGTGACAGGACAAGGAGTAATGGGTATAAGTTAAAACACAGGAAGTTTAACCTCCATATGAGGAAGAAATTCTTTCCTGTGAGGGTGACAGAGCCCTGGAACAGGCTGCCCAGAGAGGTTGTGGAGTCTCCTTCTCTGGAGATCTTCAAAACCTGCCTGGATGCCACCCTGTGCCATGTGCTGTAGGTGTCCCTGCTGGAGCAGGGGGATTGGACTAGATTCTAGAGGGCGCTTCCAACCTCAGCCACTCTGATTCGCTTAAATATTTGGCTGCCTTGGGATTTGACTTCTACTTTTTAGTGTGGAAAACAAGAATGTTGTTTCTGTTGTTGTTGTTAGTGCTACTGATTTCTAGTCGCTGCTGGGAACAGGATTTAAGATTTCTAACTCATTTCATGTGTATCGCTAGTGAACTGTGAGGTGATAAGAGCTTTCAGCTGCTAGTGCACTCCAATCTGAGCCAAGCAGCACAAGCCTAGCAATGAAGGGGAATGCCATTGTTGCCTTGATTTTCTTGGGTGAAAAAGAGGCAAAGACGATTGGATGTGTAGGACTCTCAGTCTCTCAGTCTGAGCTTTGCCACAGTAAGTAAAGGCTAAATATTTTCTAAAATGACATAAGCTAGCCTCCTCATAATACCAAAGCATGAAGGCCCTGTTCAGCTGCCTGATTGCAGGCATCTCCTGCTGTTTAGGACATACCCAAGCTATGTGGTTCTGCCCTGAGAGGTCATGGGTCTCCCATATGCTGCTGACAACACATGGGGATGTCTCAGTTATACCACAGGACATTTCAAACAGCACCTAAATTCTGCAAATACCTGTATTTAGGGCAACAGGTTTAAATGCTTCTGTGTGTGATGGTCTAAAATGGCAATATGCTCCCAGGCCCACAGCAGTTTTGACTCTGAAGGACTTGCAGACTCGCTGCTAGGCCAAACTCTAAAGTCCGTTCTCAGGAAAGTTTCCGCTCATCTAACAAACGTTCAGATTTCATTTACTGGGAGAAAACATGATACCTCCTTAACTAAAGTCTCCTAATCAGGCAATTAAAACACTGAGTAAAATGGCAGAGATAAACAGGGCCTGGGAAGCAAAGGATATTGGCAATGCATGGCAAAGCCTTTGCTGCTTGGTCCCTGCTTTCAGGCTCTCCAGAACCATGTTTCATGAAGTTAAAATGTGTGAGTCCTCCATATAATAACTCCATTGAGCCCTATTGCAGACTCCATGATGCTGGCTTTTCACTTTGCTAGCGCCTGGACTGGGAGCCTTAGTTTCTCCTCTTCATTAGCGAGTTGCACTGCTCTGATTTTCCATATCTAATTACGAGACATTTTAGTGTAGTTCAAGTTAGGGGTTTAATATCTGAAACATGGGCTGTTCAAAACCCGAGTTTCCCTCTTCAGGGGCTGTTTCCAGAATAAGAGCTATGTTGTTCTGGCACCCCTGTCTTCTCCGTCAGGCCTCGCCAGGATTTATGTACCTCTGTTTCCTTCCACTGTCACCTTTGTTCTTCTCAGCTTCGTGTTACCTACTGTTCAACCCATTCACCTCTCAGCCTGGCATTGTCATCAGCTCTTGGATTTGGAAAGAGGGGAGCAATCCAGGATATTTGGCACACAAAAGCGAAAGGGGAAACTCCAGGACAACATAACAGTTTTCTTTGTGTGCTACCTGATAAAATTGTTTACTACTTGACTTGAAGAACTCAGCATTTCTGATGTCAAGAGTTTATTATGTTTAGGAAAAAGGGAGAGAAGGCTGGAATCGAGGGATGTGGGAAATTAAATAGGAGCTTGAAACCTGTCGCTTATTACTCATTTCCATCTGTTTGCATGCTCCTGCAACCAGATTTATACTCTTAGTGCTCGAGAGTTAGTATTTGCTCCTGCTGTTAGACCTGTTTGAATCTTGTTACTTTTTCTTTTTTCTTTTCTTTTCTTTTTTCTTTTCTTTTCAACAATCCCTTTTTGGAAAAAAAATACACAGGGCACCCAGTACTACAGCTGGATTTCAGCACAGCTAAGGGAGTTTTGCGGGCTGTTTTTGGAGCCTGCAGGTTAAAGCGGTGGCACTTTTCCAATGGAAATCCTTGTGGCGGGAATACCCCTTGGGAAGGAAGGGAGGCAAGGGAGTGAGGCAGACTTGTTGCTGGCAGACCGACTTTCCTTCCTAAAGTTTGTGTGTCCTGAAGCGGAGGACGATGACGGCGGGAGCTGACGCTGAGACCAAGCGTGGCGTCACGCGAGGCCATCCCTTACGCCTATCTCCCCTGGCCCCTTGCGTGATCCCCGATGGGGTAGTTAAGGGATCCCAGAGGGAAGCCAAGCGAAGGGCGCGGGAGGGAGCCGCGGGGGGCGGGGCGCGACGCCGTCAACGGTCGCCAATGGTCGCCAACGGTCGCCAACGGTTGCCAACGGTCGCCAAGACGAGGACGGGCAGCGCTATGGCCGGGTGGGGGGGGGAGGCGCGGAGAGGGCTGCGAGGCAGGAGGGCGGGCGAGGAGGAGGAGGAGAAGGAGAAGGAGGAGGAGGAGGAGGAGGAGGAGGGACGTGGCCAATATATATTTTTTAATTTTGGAGGGGGAGAAGTGTGAAAATTAACTAAAAAGAAAGAGAGAGAGAAAAAAAATGAGCCAAAATGTCTGAGAAAATGTCCAGCTTTCTGTATATCGGGGACATCGTGTCCCTGTACGCGGAGGGCTCGGTCAACGGATTCATCAGCACCTTGGGGTAAGGACCGGACCGGACCGGACCGGACCGGGTCGGAGCGGAGCTCGGGGAACGGGGAACGGGGCCGGGGCGGCCACCCGGGCAGCACAGGAAGCGGCAGCGGCCGCGGCGGGGGAGAGCGAAGGAGGAAGTTATTCGAAAGACAGGGGAGGGAAAATAATAGTGAATAGGATAAAAAAATAAATTAAAAGTTGCCTGGTGCGGGGGGAGCGGGGTCCGCGCGGCCCAAGAGCAGCGCGGAGCGGGGCCGCCCGTGGCGGCGGCGGCGGCGCCTCCGTCCTTGTCCCCGGCGCTGCCCGGGTGCGCGGAGTTGCTGGCTGCTTCGAACCGCAGCTGCCGAGTTTGTGCATTTATCTCTATATTCTAATGCTATTTTTGTTTTAGCGTATGTTTGAGATTTTTTTGTCAGAGAAAAAAAAAGAAAACTTCACTGTCTCACTCGTCAACGTACATCCCTTTTAATTCTCAAGCCTTATCTGTGATTGTCAAGGATTAGATATATTTAATTTCACACGGAAGGGTGTGCCTTTTTTTTTCTTTTTCCTCCTTTCTATGAGCTCTTAATTGATTTATTTTCCTTCTTTGCAGAATGGAAAGATGGAGCTTAACTGTGGCTACTACACTGAGCTACTTTTGCATACGTGAGGGTTTTTTTTTAACCTCAGGCACTTGAAATCACCTTTCAGGAACCCCAAGCTGCAGCCCATAGGGAATGCCAGGAGGGGTATATGCACTGACATCTTTCTTAAAGCTGTCCCCGTAGTATGGTGGTAGTGACATTTCCTAAGGGTGCAGTGGTCGCTTCTGATGGATGGTAGCGAGAGCGCTGCAGTAGTTTCTGGGATTTTGTGACCTGTCCAAAGCAAGCATGTCCCTAAGCGTGTGTGTCGCTGGAAACCTCTCCCAGGCCACATGAATCCTAGTGCTTCAGTTGACAGAGCCGCTTAGGCTCTAGCTGGGCATCAGTGTGGTTTGTCACTGAAATGTGAGCCCTACTGTGAGAATAAAAGTCTAGCAGGTATATTCTTTGCTAAAGCTGTGTTTTGACCCTCTGCTAACTAACATTTCTATTGCTTGGATGCTGCTCTTGTGCATCATGTTAGGCTGGCTGTGTCCTGAGGACCCTTCCATGGGTGGAAGGATGAAGTAAGGAGAGTGCTAAACTTTAACAGTGAGTGTCCTCTCGAGTGTCTGCGTCACTTTGAGTGGTAGACACGGGAAAAAGCTGCTGTGCAAGGTCTCTCATTTTTTAATATTTTATTATTACTTCCTATGCTTGTTGTTCTCTCATTTTGTATGTTTACAAGCATATTTCCGTGGCCTGTTCCTCTATTTGTAAACTCTGTGCCTTTTCTATTTGTGACTCTTGTGTTTTGTCTAACATCTCCTTTTGTTCTGCTGACGCCTGTCATTTAAAATCCTATCTGAAAACCTGTTTTCTGCAACTCTGCAACTGTTAGCTGTTGGGTGTTGTTTCTTGTTCTTGCAACTCATGTGCTTCTTCTGTGTTGGCATTGTCAGTTATTGAGTTGCTTGGTTTTGTTTTTGTGTTCTGTCATCTGGCAATCTGGGGAAAGCTTAATTTGCCATGCCTTATAAGTACCTTTCTGGAAGGTGCCTTCCAGAGGGCACCTGCTTGCATGCAGTTCTGGACGTCTGTGCTGCGACTGTGACATGTGTGCCGTGTCGTGGCTCTGTGTTGCTTGGCACGTGTCACTGGTCCAATGTCACAGTATGTCCCCCTTCCATCCATGGGCCTCTGTTGGTGCTTCCTTCCTCAGGAGGAGCCTCTCTGGCTCCCTCCTTTTTATTCTGTGCTGAAGAGTGCAGAATTGCTGTACTCTGTGTGCTGAAGAAGGCACTACCTGGCATCAGATGAGACTTTTATGTCTCCCCCTCAGCAGCAGGACAGGAGTTCAGGAGCGGTAATGTAGCTCGGTTAGCTCTTCAGGACACCTTTTTTGTGCCCAGCTCCCAGGCATGGCAGAGGCAGAAGGCTGGAGCTGAGAAGCTGAAGGCCTTGAAGGAAGTGTGAAGTCACCAGGGGAAAACTCCCATGTCTGCTCAGTGGCAGTGCTGACCTCTCTGCTAGTGGCACAAGAGTTTGGACAGAAAGTTGTGCTGCTGGGTCATGTTATCTGTGCCAATCATAGTGATTGCTGCTGTGGGGCAGTATGCTCAGAGGAGATGCTTGTCCCGCTGAGCGTTCGGTGTGTGACGCTTCACGAACTCTGTCTCCTGCCTCCATGCAGATCCCCTCTTCAGAGCAAGTGGCATCCTGTCTTCCAGAGATGCCTCTTGTTTCTGAGGAACAAGTGCAGTAAGTGCTGGAATGATGGCTCACTTGCTTGATTTGGCTGATGCAGCTCTTTGTTCTGTTCCTTTTTCCTCTGTTGCTCAGAGTGCTGTTCTGGTAGGTGCCCGGAGAGGATAATAAATTGTCCTGTCACTCCTGAGTTTGCTAGTAAGTCCATCAGATAGTCTAGTGCAGTCTAACGCAAGAACTTTGAATGAAGCTCGAGTCTAGTGACTCTGAAGCAGGGAGAGAGTTGTGTTTATTTTAAGCTGTCAAAGGCTAATTGTTTCTTAAACAAAACACGAGTGAGGCCATGCTATAAATAAGATCAAAAAGAAATGTGCAGCACTCTCCAAGTGGGGAGGTCCATCGTGTAAGCAGAACTAACTCCTAAAAGAGTCGGATGAGCTTAACAAATTGGTTTTGAGGAGGAAATCTCTAGGCAAAGCTTGGGGTTTGCGTGTATTGAATATTTTTGCTTACTTGCTAAGGCAGCAATTTTCACATTCTCAGTTTCCCCGGGAATCTTAAAAGCAGGAGGAAGTTGAGCTATTGGGGTCAAGTGTAGGATCTACTTAGTACCTGCCAGCAGGAGAGTGTGGAAATCTTCTTGGTGTGCAGTACCGAGTGGCATAGAGAACTTCAGGAGATGGGGGGTCCAGACTGAGCTTTTCTTCTGAATGGATGGTCCATATCTGTACTCCTGTCCCACATCCAGGGGGCATGCACAGAGATTGTGCTGGAGGCAGTAGCACCTCTCCACACCTCCCTCTACCCAAAATGCTCAAGGTTTGCTGGAGCAGAGGGATTCTGGCAGTGGGGACCCTGAGGTTGAGGCACATCTGCGAGGTGGAAGGAACCTGCCTTCCTGTCCTCCTCTGAGAACTATTTTTATATTTAGTCTAAGCAGATGTGGGATGAGAAGCACACTCAGCTCTGCTTTCAGATTTGATCCCTGTTGGTGAGAAGAGGAAACTGAGCCTCTCTTCCGCATTGAGGGTTAACATGCGAGCTGCTGCAGGGAGGCAGGGGTGCGCAGGCCAGCACTGCTCATTCTTCCCCTTGTATCCATAGGCTAAAAGAGAACAAGTACTTGGCGCTTGAAAGAAAGGGCATAAGCACTCGCCTTGTCGAGGTTGTTCCCGGCTCTGGCTCCCAAAGGCCAATGAGAAATTTTAAAGGAGACAGTTTGGGATTTAGCATTTTTATTGCCTACTGCAGGTTTCCAGGAATCTGCCATGCAGAGCTGAGGCAAACCCGACTCCACAGTCTGCCTGGATTTGGATTCTGCTGAGGTGCTGATGATGTGTAACATATTTTTTTTTTCTGATCCCAAGGGTTTGACAACTTTATTTTGTTTTCATTTTTCATATTAATAAGTGTTCTCTTTTTTTGAATATGTAAACTAATAGTCTTGCAGCTTAGTAGAGATGTTTGGGAAAAGGAATTTCCACCCATGGATAATTTTCTGCATTTTCAAAATATGTTTTGTTCTAGATTATTAAACTATGTTGCCCTCACAAAGATTTTTCAGAGTTCACTTCGTTTGAACTTTGTTTGTATTCTATATGATATTTGCATTTTTGCTTTGGATTCAATACATGTCTTATAATAAAGAATAAAACCACTATTTTATGTTAACACAGCAATAGAGTACTTTTTTTGAGCAAAATTATAATTTAAATGAAAAACAAAATATATATTTTTTTCCCTTTTTGAATTCTCAGTGTCAATGCAGTTTGAGGCTTTACACTACACAGGTAACGTGGCAGCACCAGGCAAGAAATCCCAGTATTGTACTATCTATCGGAACCATGAGAGCACTTTTCCTGATATTTTGGCCGTAAGCATTGGCAATGAATTAGAGCTGCTGTTAACCACTTGTTGGTGCAATGAGGGAAAAAAAATTACTTGGTGGGGAGGTGGGGAAAAAAACTTTCACTAATTGCTAGCATCAGCTGTTGGAAAGTTTGACACTGGAGCTGTTAGTCACCCTCAGCGGCTGCATTCCTGTCTCACCTCCATCAACGTGCCGCTGTGCCGTAGCAGCCACAGACCTCATGGAACAAAGTTAATGGAGCATGCGGCAGGAGGGGCATGGTGGGTACTGTGTGACTGTGGGCGCTGAGGGTGCCGACACTTATTCCTATGGAGCAGCAAAAACGTCTTGTAGAATATTCATACCCATTGCCTTGAGTTTAATGCTGGTTTGTCTTGTACAACTTAAGTTTGTGGGAGTGCTTGCCATGGCTTTCTGCCTAGGGGAGCTTCAGGTTAGACATTAGGAAGAATTTCTACATGGAAAGAGTAGTCAAGCTTTGGAATAGGCTGCCCAGGGAAGTGGTGGAGTCACCGTCCCTGGCAGTGTTGAAGAAATGTGTAGATGAGGCACTTAGGGACATGGTTTAGCAGGCAGGGTGGTGATGGGTTTACGGTTGGACTCGATGATCTTCAAGATCCAACCATAATGATTCCATGATTCTATGATTTGAAGCGAGTTGCCCAGTTTTGCTCAGGCTCCCTATCTGTGCTGCTGCTCGTTTGTTGTCTTTATGAGCTTGGACCTCACACACAGACTGAGTCAGTCTTGATGAAGACACAAGACTGAGTTGCCAGCGTTCATGGAATGGTGTAAATCAAAACGTGCAAAGATTGTGCAAGGTGAAACCTGCCTTCTTGGTGGTGTAAGCAAGGGTACTGAGAG